TTCAGGAGGGGTCCCAGGGCAGATTTTCACTGGTAAGACAAAATTCAGTAACCTGCCCAGGTTTGTCAGTAGTATTCCCCACCACTGAGATTCAAGAGGGGTAGTTAATTACTTTAAAATATTTTTGACATATTAAAAGACTGAGTTTTAGCACTGTTAGAAAAAGGTCACAGCTTCAAGGCTGAGTCTTTTGAATAAAACACAGCAAATCATATATTTTTTTATAAGTGTAAAAAAAGACCCAATATCTACTATCTTCCTTCTGTCCCCTGCCACAGAATATCAACACATCTATGGAAGGTGAACATCCTAGTTTTAACGCCTTGTGTGTGTTTTCATTCTCTTGGTAGATGCTTTTTAATCTCCATAAAGAATACCTGAATCTATGAATCCTGGTGTGGGAGCGGAGGGAGAAGAGTGTTTTACTAGGTAAGAAAGCTGTGTCAGCTTTAAACGATTCTCCATTTGTAACAGCAAAATTCCAGAGGATATACCTGATGGCCAGAAGAAGCTCTAGCAATGTCGGTTCAAACTGCCTATCAAGTCAGTGCTCTTTAATGAGCCGGTCTGGAGAATTATATTGCTGTTTCTCAGCCTCCTTGATGCTTTGGCTTTAAGAGTCTTGTTTTTCTAGAGTTGGACTCAGGTATACCAGCCAACACTTGGACCACACTTGAAGAATAAATGTCATCCATAAGGAACATAGTTACTTTTCAATTGAGTCACCTGATGCCAGCCACATACTCCTACTAAAGGCTGTATAAAGGAAACTTTGTGACAGACCACAGGGTTCCACAAACCATCCTGCTTATATACCTCCCTAGATTAACCTACTTAACTGAGTAATGAATTAGGGCTTTCTCTTCCATCAGTGAAAGTAAGAACCATTTGGCCACCCTTAAAAGCCTCTTAACATCAAGTGTAGAGATCATTAAATATACCTTGGTCAAAAGAAAAAAGTCTTTAGGGAAGAAAAAAGCCTTGGAAGGTCAGATTAAAGTTCAAATGAAAAGCAAAACATTTCACTTATACAGTGCCACTACCTTTTTCTTCAAAAAGAAAATCTTACCTCGCAAAATCTGATAAAGAAAAACTTTGACATGATCTGAGCTGAGTGGTTGAGGAGAGACGATAATTTTATGTAGGTCACTCTGCATCAATTCTGTGACAACATATCTTGAGGTTTTAAGTTAAGGAGAATTCCAAGAATTCAGCCCCCAATCCCCTCAAAGTCGGCACTAGGTCTAAAGAATAACTTCCATTCTTAAAGCTGGGAAAAGCTTAGGGAAAGAAAGCTTCTAGACAGCATTACAGAGGTAAAAATTCCAGCCCTCACAAGATAAAAAAATTGCCAAAATTAAAGAATTTACCATTTAGAAGTTAGCAGAAATAAACTGTCTCTATAATTAGCATTACAAAAGAAAAATAAGGATAAACATTTTTGAAGTTAATTCAAATGTAGTTAACATACAGAGTTCTATTAGTTTCAGGTGTACAATATAGTGATTCAACAATTCTATACAGTACTCAGTGCTCATCATGATAAATGCACTCTTAATCCCCTTCACCTATTTCACCCATCCCCCCAATCACTTTCTCTCTGGTAATTTTTTTCTGTAGTTAAGAGTCTGGTTTTTTTCCTTTGTTCGTTTTTTTTCTTAAATTCCACACGAGTGAAATCATATGGTGTTTGTCTTTCTCCAACTGACTTATTTTGTTTAGCATTATACCCTCTAGATCCATCCATGGTTGTTGCAAATGGCAAGATTTCATTCTTTTTTATATTCCAGTGTGTATCTATATACCACATATTCTTTATCCATTCATCTATCGATGGACACTTGGGTTGCTTCCATCATTTGGCTACTGTAAATAATGCTGCAATAAACATAGGGGTGCATATATCTCTTTGAATTAGTGTTTTTGTATTTTGGGGGTAAATACCCAGTAGTGAGATTACTGGATCCTAAGGCATTTTATTTATTTATTTATTTTTTTTGAGGAACCTCCATACTGTTTTCCACAGTGGCTACACCAGTTTGCGTTCCCACCAACAGCGCACCAGGGCTCCTTTCTCTCCACATCCACCAACACCTGTTGTTTCTTATGTTGTTGATTTTAGCCATTCTGATAGGTATGAGGTGACATCTCATTGTAGTTTTGATATGCATTTCCCTGATGACAAGAGATGTTGAGAATCTTTTCATGTGTCTGTTGACCATCTGTATGTCTTCTGCCCATTTTTAATTATTTTTTTTGGATGTTCAGTTGCATAGTTTTTTATATATATTGTATACTAACCCTTTATTGGGTATGTCATTGGCAAATATCTTCTCAAAAATAATAAACATTTTATTTTTTAAAAGATTTTATTAGAGAGAGAGCGTGCGTGAGCAAGAGAGCACAAGCAGGGGGAGCAGCAGAGGGAGAGGGAGAAGCAGGCTCCCAGCTGAGCAGGGAGCCCGACGCGGGGCTCGATCCCAGGACCCTGAGATCATGACCTGAGCCGAAAGCAGATGCTTAGCTGACTGAGCCACCCAGGCGCCCCAAGGATAAACATTTTAAATGACAGCCAGGCCAGGAAGAATGTGAAGACCAAAGAGTCTCAGGATCTATTCAGACATGTTACTGGAGCATCCTCTGAATCCAAACAAGAGAGGATTGGGGGTCTCACCCTAGGCCACCATGGCACCAATGGAAAGGATGACAACCTACCCATCAACTGTGGCATAAGTTGCTTTGTGAAGAATAGTATTCCTAGAAATGCGTAAAATGATTAGTTCAAATCCAAGTCTATCTACAATCTTAATTCTTTTAGTATTTAACTTTTTTTTTTTTTTTTTACATTTATGGCTCCTTTATTAAGTTTTAAGCTTCCTATGTTTTGTACTTTTATACTCTCAGGGTTTTGTTCAAACAACACATGCCAGATAATCAAAGGCTGGAGCCTGGGGAGCAATGAAGATGTGGAATTCAGAACTCTTATGAAGGTAACTCTTTTGTTTTATCTAAAATAGGACAAATTCATGTCTTACCCTGTGCAGTTAAGGACTCATTACAAGTATGGGTGAATTTTATGATTTAAATTTTTTAACCTTCCTTAAGACAAGGGGAGACTACCCTTGATTTCAGGAGATTCCTATTAGGTTTCAAATTCTTTGGACACCTCGTGAAAGTCAATTTCATGTTCTGAGTTGGAACACTAAAGCTCCCCTAGCCCTGTACAACTCAAAGCAGGGAAAGGCAAAACAACAACAAAGCAGAGCTGTTACTGGGCTGCAGTTGTTCCGCTTTCTTAGTTCTTCAGATCCTAACTTTCTTCTTGCAGAGCAATATTATGGAATCTTTTGAAAGGACAACCCACCCGACAGCCTGTGAAACACTTCTTGTATCAGTATTGTCCCACAGCTAGTCCTAGAAGATAGACAATCTTAAGGGGCAGCTGTAGTCTTAGGGTGCTTGGCATGAACTATAAATGAACTAAGACGGTCACAGGACTCCTGTTTTAGCATTTACATGCTTGCTGTAAGGGTAAATGCTAGGCATTTAAAAATAAAGATGAGAAGGAGTCTGCTTTCAAAACTCAAATTTTTAAAAAGTGTTGTTAGTTAGGCTTTGGATTTTACTTTTATGAGCTTTAAAGACTCTTGTAAGTAAGTGGTCATTATCTGGGGAGAGTGATTTAAAAACCCTTCTAATTTAACATTTTAAAAAGCAAAAACAGGTAGTAACAAGTTGAAAGTAGGGAGGAGAATTAATAACTGATAACACCTGACACACAGTCAAAACGCCCTCCTTGAGACATTTTCTTCAAATGGCTTCTAGAACACCCAACTGTTGGCTTTTCTCTCATTGGTTGTTCCTTCTCAATCCTCCTTTGTTGTTTCCCTTCTCCAACCACTAATGTTGAAATGCCCCAGGGTTTGGTCCTCTTGTCTTTCCACACTCACTTTCTTGGGTAATTGGATCCAATCCCAAGACTTTAAACAATATACATGCAGATGACTCCCAATTTTATATCTCTACTTAATCTTGTTTCCTTAAGTCCAGCCTTGTTTATCAAACTGTCTACTCATCATCTCCTCTAGATGTCTGACATCTCAAACTGTCCAAAACTGTCCAAACGTGTATTCTCCATTTTCCCCCCACCAAATTATTCTAGTTGTAGGCTTTGCTATAACAAACCTATTTTTCCAGCAAGCTGCTCATACCACAAGCCACAAACCTTGGAGACATCCCAGATTGCTCTTTTTCTCTCTTACTCTACCTCCAATCCATCAGGGAATCCTGTTGGTTCTTTCAAAATCTAGCCACAGAATTAGACTACTTCTTAACATGTCCACTGTTACCTCCCTTGGCCCAAGACCTTTAGATTTCTAAAACACAGCAGCCAGAATAAATTTTTGACTCTTATATTTCTATTTTGTCTAAATATTGACAGTGACTTTACTATATAGAAAATGTAATTTTTAATGTTTTTATATTCTTAGGTTACTTTTATTTTAGGTTTTATTAATCAGATTCTTTCCAAAGAATTACATTCTATTCCATAATGAAGGTTAGTGAGGAAATGAGATTTCTCATGTAGAATTTCCTAAGGAGAGTTTTCGGTGACATGCTAGAATCATCCTATAAAACAATACATATCAGTTAAATTACGATATTATTACCAGGGTTAGATTTGGGTTTTTTCTTAATAGCTTAAATTTTTTTCTTACAGATATTTTTAAACACATGGAAAACTTGAAAGAATTAAAGAGTGATCACACACATATATATACATCCACCCCCTAGATTCTACACTTAACATTTTGCCATATTTGCTTTAGTTCATGTTTATCCATGGCTCTTTCCATTCATCAATTCATCTTATTTTTTTGGCTGCATTTCACAGGACATTTTTTTGATTGTCACTCTTCTGCAAAAGTTTCCCATTTCATTTAGAGTCAAAGCCAAAGTCCTTAAAATGTCCTTAACATGGCCATAAATGATCTGTCCTCCTTACTTCTCTGACCTTCTCTCCTACCATTTTTGCTATTCTCTAAACATACTAGACACACTCTGACCTTAGGCCTTTGCTCTAGTTGTTCCCTCCGCCTGGAATGGGCTTCCCCAGACACCATGGCTTTCACCTCCTTTGTGTTATTGTTCAAATCATATCTTTTGAATGAGGCCTACCTTGACCATTTAATACTGCATCTTGCATGCCTTATACAATAGCTACCCACTTGCATAGCTCTACTTTTTCTTCCTTTAGTACTTACCCTACATAATTTACTTATTATGTTTATTGTTTATCTGTCTCCCCAACCCTGCCCCATGAGGGCAAGGGTTTTTGTCTGTTTTGTTCACAAGTCTATCCCAAATTCTCAGAAACAAATGCCTACATACAGTTATGTCTCCTATAAACATCTGTTGGGTGAATGAAATTATATATATATACATACACACACACACACACACACACACACACATATATATGTATGGGTAACTAGGTACACCAGCACTCTACTAAGTATCTTAAATATATCATCTCATCTAATTTTCATGGCAATCCTACAAGGGAGGTGGTGGTATTCCCAATTATAGATGAGGAAATTGAGGCTAACAGAAGGCAAGTAACCTAAGGTTTACACAGTAGTAAAGTTGGACTTGACTGTGTTTAAGATTGTTTCAATGGCTGGATTTTATTTTCCTTTTTTTGAGTTATAATTTGAAAAACTGTAATAAAATATACTATATGTTCACTCTGTTTCTTATAGAAGACTTTCAGCTAATCAATGCAAAAGCAATGCTACGTGAGTAAAAAAAAAATTGCCATTTTTCAACCTCTATGACATCATGGATACAGGCACCAATTACCAATGGCTGCTAAAACCATTTGAAAGGGATGAGACTGATGAGCATCACCTCAATCCACCACTCAACCCTAGCAACACTTAATGTGCGATATTATGTCTATGTGATATTCACACCACTGCCCAAAAAAGTATTCGTGTCTTTAAAAAAACTCAATATAGGGGTGCCTGGGTGGCTCGGTTAGGCGTCCGACTCTGGATTTTGGCTTGGGTCATGATCTCAGGATTGTGAGATCAGGTCCCATGTTGAGCTGGTGTTGGGCTCTGCGCTGGACATGGAACCTGCTTAAGACTCTCTCTCTTCTTCTGCCCCCCGTA